CATCTCATTTATAAGCCCGAGTTATGCTGAAGGGCATTTGTTTTAAACAAAACTTAGCACCATGTCCTCTAGAAGTCCTCATGAAATTCTGCAGATTACATTACTTTTATAACATTTCTCAATTATTCGGAAGAATGGAATTCAATGTAGTGGAGCTGTGAGCTCTTGAGACACTGTTTAGAGCTATTGCATTTATTTATTTATTTTTTCTGTAAGTATATCTCAAAATCTCCAGACTTTTTGGAAATGTTTTTTTTTTAATCTCTTACATTTAATCAGTGATCATATTTGAAGGAAAGGTCAAAAGTTCAATAAAATGTGTATTTCTGTACTTTACAATTGGCACCATTCTTTACATTGCTGATGGCCTGGGGGAGAACCATCACTGAGATATGTGAGCCAGCAAAACTCCTCTCTGGCTGTCAGAGACCCTTGTGGGGTCCCTGCACTCCCCTGGGATCACCTCTCTCACTGAGTGACCTCTTGTCCCTGCAGGGATGGGGGACATGGCTGTGTCCAACTCCATTGGGAGCAACGTGTTTGACATCCTGATTGGCCTGGGTCTCCCCTGGGCTCTGCAGACCCTGGCTGTGGATTATGGATCCTACGTAAGTGGTTTTTTCCATGACTTCTCCTTAAACCCAGGACTACACAGACTTCGTTTTTAGCAGCCCTAGCCACTGGGACTTTGTCTCAGGGCAAAGGAGGTGTAGAAATAGTAATATTGAGGGGGAAACAAATTTTCCTTGTCCAAGTTCTTCCAAAGCCAGGCTTGTGGGCACATTCAGGACTCTAGAGCAGGGGTCAGCAAACTCTTTCTTTTCAGGGGCCAGAGAGTAATTATTTTAGGTTTTGTGGGCCAGTTGATCTCTGTCACAGCTATACAACTCTGCCACTGTAGGTGGAAAGCAGCCATAGACAATAAATAAATGAATGAGTGTGGCTGTGTCCATACAATTATATTTATGGAAACTGAAATTTGAATTTTATATAATTTTTACATGTCATGATATGTTATGCTATTTTTTATTTTTTTCAACCCTTTAAAAATGTAAAATCCATTCTTAACTCATGGGCTGTGCAAACACAGTCGATGGGCCAGATTTGGCCCATGGGTCATAATTTACCAGCCCCTGCTCTCCTGTATTTGTACCTGCTTCATCTTATTTTATGTTAAGTGATGCGTGTGAGAGACACTGCAGAGATGTCATCCAGGTTGGCTACTGAAAGGGTGTCATCTCTTGGGTGGTTACAGGATTCCAAATAACCTTCCTAAATTTTGCAGGCCAAAGAGTGAGAGACTATTATCAGTCAGGCTCTTATGAATTGACTCACATCAACCAAATTCACAAGAGTTTGATGTATAGGCTAGAATGTCATCAGATGGTAGTAACAGATGGTAAGCTATATAAGGGCCAGGCAGAAAACATACCTATTTTGGATGATTTGTTCTCTGTATTCCTGTAGGAAAATTTTATGTGGGAGGTATTTTGTGAATCTAGTGACCATCCTCAAATTCAGTGATTCATCAGGAGTATTCACAGGACTCAACAGCAGATTATAGATTTATCGTGGCTAAGACTTATTATAATAAAGGATATAAAGAAAAAGAGCAGGGAAATGAAATGCATCAGGAGAAGCCTGATCAGAGAGGTCAGATGCAGGTTCCAATTCCTTTCCTACTGGGTCATGTGCTTTCTCTCTAGCAGTGAACTACAGGAACATGTGGGAGATATCTCTTTCCAGGGAAATCCTCTGGGATCTGAAGCTTTTAGGGAGGGCTGGTCAGGTAGGCATTCCCACTACATGAACAGCCATGATAACTGAATCCCAGAGCCCCAACACAAATACCAACTATACATAAAAGCTTACTAAACAATCCCAGCAAGCTGGTACAGCATGCACCACTGCTCTGGTGTACAAAACAACATCATCAATGAGTAACATTTCCAGGGCCTCAGGCTAGTCAGGGTTCCAGGCTCCCTGGAGGCATGCAAGGATTAAGTAGCCAGACCTACTGCATTAACACTTTCCACGCAGAAAGTCAAATTATTATTTGATTTATCAGAATAAGTATTGTTGGGGGCCGGCCCAGTGGCGCACTGCTACAGTGCGCCGCTTGGGAGCGCGGCGGCGCTCCCGCCGAGGGTTCGGATCCCACATACAGA